CAAAAATTTTGTCCAAAGCTTAGTTTTCAATTTTAACGAGATATAGTTAGCGAATTACGGGCCGCGTATGGAAGGTAGACAGGGGCGGCGCAACTTATTGTCGGACACAGGCAGTACGTGACAATTAGCTGCAGACTGCTACACGTGCGCATACACATGACATTTTAAGGACATGCGATTACATTCTCTCTTGCTCACACACACGCACGCACGCACGCACGCACGCACGCACGCACGCACGCACGCGCACACACACACAATTACCTTGTAAAGATTTGATGACTCTTGTAGCTTCGTGAGAAAGACGGAATTTCCATTTCGATGGACTACGTAAGCTCCAAATAAACGTTTATTTTAATAAACTTTCGTTAGTTTCAATGCAAACTTTATTACTGACTGACACAGATTATTATTTAGTTAATTCTTTATTTTACATAACGTGTCACTTCAACATTTCATATTCGATTCACATATTCAATTCACATTCCTAATAACTTGTCCTAATAACTTTAAATAAATAATGGCTAAAACCTTTCAAAAGTCACTTAAGGCCATGACCTTAATAGTAAATGTTAACGTCAAGGCTATTGAAGGTGATTCCCTAATCGAAATATTTACCTATTACATTTTTATCTTTAAAAATGGGTTTTTCATAGAAGTCGCTGAAAATCCTTTTGATGGCTTTTATTTTAGTTCAAAATAAAGTTTCAATGAAATCGGAGATAGGTCGTTTTTGGAAGTTTATCCAAATTATTCTTTAATATTGTCAATTTTAAAATATGAGAAGTAATAAATATAATAATTAAATTTATTATAAATAGGTGATACGCATGACGGAAAATATGTCAATGATCTTTGAAACAATGGATTTAATGCATGCATCGCCCGCTACAGTATCCCGATGCGGTATGATTTATTTGGAACCAGCTGCCCTTGGATGGCAACCCATTTTTGAATCATGGATTCGAAAATTAAATCCTATGTGGGCAGAAGGTCGCGAGGAGATTATCGTTGAACTGTTTAATTGGTTAATGAATTCTTGTTTAGAATTCATCAGAAAGGAATGCCGGACAACTATAAGTGCTGGACAAATTCATTGCACTGTGTCAACTACAGCAATTTTTCAACTCTTGATAGAAAATGCCGTCGAGGAAAATCCTAAAGCGTTCGAGCATTATTTGCTAGCTTGGTTTCAAGCAGCCATGATTATGTCAATGGTATGGGGTGCAGCCGGTACCTTAGACTACGAATCTCGACGTAAATTTGATACATTTTATCTGAGTATATGGAAAGGCGATCGTCAAGAGTTACCCTTACCTACTAGTATAATGGCAGACCTCATCTCCCTACCAGGCGAAGATCCGATTCACGATCAATATTACAGGTTAGAACTATTAGAAAAAGAATAATATTATAACAAATAAAATATAAAATCTTATATAATTATAATGTACAGTAATATAAAATCTTGAAACATAATTTTTTATTAAATAAAATAAAATAACGATTAAGGCTCAATAAATTAAATTAAAACAATGGACAATCAAGGGTAAATGAGCCAAAGGCAAGTTATTGGTAGCCAAAAACAATTTTATTTAAAATCAGATCCAGACGTTTCGGCTTCTATTAAGCCATATTCATTGGATCAATATACATTTTAGTTAACACATAGAAACGTAGAATTTCATCTTGCTTCACAATTGTATAAAACTTAATAATTAAACCGCGGAGTTTTGGCATATTTCGCTATTATAAAAATTTTGATAAATATTTACGGTGACTTAATTATTTTCTGTCTTGCATCGCATTGAAAGTCTCTTGCAAGAATTTATAGAATTATGCGCTTAATAATATCTGAGATAAATCGCAAAATTTTTTCCTAACTTTGCAGAGTTCCATGACTCAAAATAAAAATTGCACACAAACGCGGTGTGCAGGTTTTGAATCGAAAGATCCTTCACTTTCTCTTATATTTTTTTTTGCTTTCTTTTATTCTCTTTTATTTCTTGCATTTCTTATATTCTCTTATTTTACTTTTTTTTTGTTTCCATTATTATTCTCTATTTCTTATTGCTACGTTTATTTCTTTATTAAACCATCTTGTTATTACTTTTACCCTTGGAGTACGAATTCTTTTGCCTGCTCACCACCGTCCTAAAGTAATTTGCGAGGATCGCACTTGGTTCCCGCCCTGCCCCTCTGTCGTTAGAGCCGGTCGACCCTCACGCGATCGACGACGGGGTCAGAATCGAAGTAGATCTCTACTGCGTGTTGCGTCCGCGGACTTTGTGTCTTGTCGGGCGAATTCGAGTATCGCGAGTGACGTCGCCATAGAGCACGTCTGGCGACCAATTTAGCGTGCGATCGTTGGAAAGGCATAATTACGAGGGCTAACACCTTCTCTCCTGACAATACATTTTTTTCTCGCTTTTGATCCGCGTCCGCGCGAGCGCGAGCTTGCCGAGCGCTTGACAATATACACAAAAATATTATTAGGTACATCAAGATCCGACCAAATAGTTATATATTATTAATTGTATATTTATGTATTAAAATCTATTTTACTTATTGTTTATTTTACATTGTTTGAAAAAGATATCTTTCTCTAACATTTATTGATTATTGCAATAACTATCCTCATGCCTCGATGCTCGAATTAGTAAGACGCCCGTTATTGATTAGGAAGGTCCAGGTTTAAACCTGGAATTATATTTTTGCAATAAATTTTCTATAAATTTTTAAAATGTTTATTAAAATCAATATTATTAAATTTGTTGTCTATAATATGACTCCAACTTTGTGTTTCAAAATCGACAATTAATTGACATATATTTTGCATGAAATAGAAACATTATTTATAAATTCACGCCGTATGTTAGATACCAAGACCTATTTTGATAAGAGAGCAAGCATATACTATTGTTAAAATGATTAAAAAATCTTTTTTTAATTTTTCATCTGCATTGAATCCGGAGGTAACACAGTTGACACGCAGTTCATTGAAGCTAGAATACGTATGTAAAATCACATAGAAATATCAGAAGCGCCAAGATTGAATTACAATGTTAAAATTAGAATAAGATTTTAGAATAAGATTAGAATAAGATAAAATTAGAATTAATTTTCATATTTATTTTTTTTTTCTTGTAGTTTTCGTGCAAAAGGAGCCTGGAAGCGCTTTGCTGATGTTGCAAGAGCGGAACATATTCTAGAAACAGAGAGCATTACTCGTACTATGATTCCTACAAGTGATACAGTCAAGTACCAAAATATTATGTTAACACACATCAAGTATCAACGATGCTTTCTACTTTATGGAGACACCGGTACTGGCAAGAGTCTTTATCTAAAGGATCTGCTAACCAATAGATTAGATGAAAAAGAATATCTACCTAATCTTATTACTTTTACGCCAAATATTACCGCAGCACTGACACAAGAGTTAGTATTAATAAAATTACAGAAGAAACGTAGAAATCAATATGGACCGCCATTTGGAAAGCGTTGCGTTGTTTTTATTGACGAAGTAAATATGCCAACAAAAGAATTGTATGGTGCGCAACCACCAATTGAGTTGTTACGTCAATTCTTTGATCACGGCATGTGGTTTGATCTGCACAAACCAGAAGCAATTGCTATTTCGGACGTTATGTTTATATGCGCCATGGCATTTCCCGGTGGTAGCAGACAAGAGATTTACCATCGGTTTCTACGTCATTTTAATCTATTTACTGTATGTGAGTTTTCACGCGATAACTTGTTCAGGATCTTCACGAATCTAGCATTTATAGGATTGAAGCAGAAAGGTTTCACTGCCGGTGTGATACCAATTGTCAATGATCTAGTGAATGCCACCCTGCACATATTCAAGAATGTAATTCGTCATTTGCGACCAACACTACTCAAGCCTCATTATCTTTTCAATATACGTGACTTTGTACGAGTAATAACTGGTTGCACCTTAGTAAAGAAAGAGACTATGAATAGTAATAAGACCATGTTTGGCAGATTGTGGGTACATGAAGTGCTTCGAGTTTTCGGAGATCGTCTAATTGACGCTTCCGATCAATATTGGTTGTTTCATATGATCAAGGATATAGTAGAAACTATATTGAAAGAACGCTTCGATATGATGTTTGATCATTTACCCAAGCTTCAAGATAAGATTACAGAAAAGAGTTTAGACAGTCTGATATTTTGTAATTTCATGGATATGGAAGCTATATTGGAAGATCGATATTATGAGGAAATTCCATCTATAGAAGAATATCAACAGACAGTTTCTTTATTTTTAGAGGAATATAATGATACACATCGCGACAAGATCGATATCGTGCTATTTCAATATGCGCTTGAACATCTCGCCAGAATTTCTCGTGTATTGGCAATTCCTTGTGGCAACATGCTGATGATTGGTATTGGTGGATCAGGAAGAAGGAGCCTGACAAAACTTTCTGCCACCATAACTGGTTATGATCTTCATCAGTTACAAATTAGCAGTGTGTACGGTATGCAGGAATGGCATGAAGATATTAAAAGTATTCTCAGGTATGATAGTGACTTATTTAGTATAATTATTATATTTTAATAAATTGAAGGAAATAGATTATCAAGAATAATTTAAATATATTGAAGTAATAATGCCCATGAGCCGACACGGTTGTTGTAATAATTTCTATTGTTATAATATTAAGCCACGTACAAACTGCATGCCGTATATATTATTGATCTTAAAACAGAGTTCTTGCATGAGGCCAGAATTCATTGCAACGAATTAAATTAATAATTAATTTCCCTAACAGCACATGATATCCTGTAAATATCCCATTTTCATACTGATTGTATTATGATCATCTGTAACGTACTGAGATCAGTATACTAACAACCATGTCGGCTCATGAGCATTACTTCAATTTATTTGAATTATTCTTCAGAGTTTATTTCCTTCAATTTATTTGAATGTATGCTACTGAAAAGATGCGTGATATTGTTTACACATATATATCGGTTGTTGCGAGGAGTATTATCACATTCCTCGGTAGTAGAATGATTAGGACGTCCGGCAAACAGCTGATCCGGGTTCAATTCCAAGCTAAGGTGATATTTTTAGTATCAAAATCGCTATAGATATCTAACAAATTAATGACGATATTTGAAATCTGTTGGCGTAGTAATCGTTAATTAAGACTTAAAAATGGACTGAATTATTGCAATTGTTTAAAATCTATTATTTAACAATTGGATATTGTTGACCATCTGTTTGGTAATTGTTATTTAATGATAATTTTATAAATTTAAAAATTTACCAAAAAGCAGTAAGATTCCTAATAAAAATTTTTTTGAAAAAAAGAAAAAATGTTACGCCAAGTATATAAAAAAATATTGTACGTTAAATCTTTTCTACACTAAAAATATTTGTTAACAAATAAAAGTTGTGTAAAAAAAAACAAATATGATGTCATACAAATTGTCAAGTATTTGGTTATACATAGAGACAAAAATGTTTTATTCCAAACCATAAATATTTTTTTTAATAAACCATTTAAACCATTCAAAAGTATATGCAGCAAAAACTTAATATTGTCTTTCCAAATAATTTTAAGTTTCATAAAACTTAAAGTAAATTTCGTATCCGAGTTCCACGCTCTCGCTCCTCAAGTCTCCTCGAACCGCGCAACTGACACACGGCGAGAAGACAGAAGCAAGAACAGAAAATAATAAAACTTTTTTAAATTTAGATCTTCATAAGTTCTTAATAATTTCCATCGGCGAGATACTATTAAAGACTGACACCCTTACAGGAGTTAATGTGGCTGTTAGTGATTGCTAAAATACCGCAAAATTACATTCTTTTTACAACTGTTTTACTATCTCTCTGGATAATCAAACACGGATGGTAACGATAAAAATGCAGTTTTAAATAAAATTAACTATTAGCAAGATATAATACAGATGAAATACAATGTACATGTCTAAAAAAAACATTGATTTAATAATAAATCATAAA